AAAAATAAAAAATAACCTTCTAAAAATACACCCTGCACAAACGTCTTCCTAACAAGAAATTTCACCACCCATGGTCAGAAGATGCTGGACAGGTCTCTCATCCCCCAGGGACTGTGGTGGAGTTGATTCGCTGCGCAGGGTCACCAGCCAGTGCCATGCAGGACCGCCAGCCGCTGTCCCTGTCCCCGCCAGCATCCCCAGACTGCCTCCGGGAGATCGCTGCTGAGGGATGCCAGCTGCTCCCCGTCCACCAGGGCCGGGCACGCTGCCTCTTTAGCAAGATGTCTGAGTGTGGAGGCCTCTGGGATCCTTTTAACGTCAACATCTCATCAAAGGCCTTTCATTTTCTCACATACAACACCTTTCGGGACTTCAAAGATTTGTTATTTATGTTTCTGGACACCAAAAGCTTTCCTTATCCCATTTCTCTCCTTTTTCATCCAGCATTAAAAATTCTTGTTTCTTAAGTCTCCCAGTTGGGTCTGCTACACAGGCAGAAAAAGGTAAATATAGATTTCTTTTTTTTTCTCTTTCCCCTCACATGGTCATTTTGTCCCGAATAACTAGTGAGTCATTTTGTTTTCAGAATGTAGCAGTCAGTCTTTGGGCAGTCAGAGCGCATTTTCAGAACAACAAAATCTTCTCTCTATCGCTGGCAGATATTAATTATAAAGGTTGCCATTACATCACTAATAATGTCACGTGGGATAATTAACTGACGCTTACTAGATAGCTCTTAACCCTGAAATCTGTTAGGTTACATCTTAGTAACTGTCTAAGCATCATTCTCTAGCAGGATTTCGCTGCCCTGCCTAGGGACATAAGAAAGAAAATGAACATATATTAAAATTATGGTTAATATTTTTTTTTAGAGGATGCTAACCACGTATCCATAATGAAGACAAACGTAGGACAGCTAACAGAATAAAACAACATCCAAACCCCTACTCTGCTTAAGGTATCACTCTGGCAAGTTTGATATGAAGAAACGTTCATGGGACCAACACAAGAATGATAGTGTCATTTTTGTAGTAGTTGAGGCAACACAGCTACAACTTGATAAAATATCTCTCTTTCTCAGAAAGATACCTATCAGAAGGTGATTTCTACTTTTATCGTTGATCCAACACTTCTCTCTGTTCTTTGCAACTTACTACAAAAGTAATACCCATTCATTCATTCTACGAAAGCATAATTCATTGGGCTCCTGTGTATCAAAATGGTAGCTGAAAAGCATGAAATGAATTCTGACATTACAGAAGGGTGTGGTGTAGAGTAACAACAGTCTTGGCACGGGAGCACACAGCTCACAGCAGTGTGGACCATACTGTCATTTGGCAGGTGGTTTGGAATGGAAGAATCTGGTTCAGAAGAATAAGGAGGTTAATAATTAGTAAAATGCACCATAAAATTAATGTCTGCTGGAGCAATCTGACCCCCAAAGAGGCCACTAGCATGGGGACTATGGATGAGCTTAGAAAGTGGTTATTACTCAGCAAACCCTTCTTTTCTCCCCACTAATGCATCTGTTCAGAAATCACTATTGCCTTCGCACCATGGGAGCAAGTGTGCAGCAAGAGCTCTGCTGCCCAGGGCAGCCACTGACCCTAGGAGTCCCGCTTAGCCTCGTCAGCCATCACCCTCCGTTCCCATCCTCTTGGTGACACACCTATGGACAAGGTGAAGACCTCCTTGATCCCTGATGGGGACCGTTGCCTCCAGTGACATGCTGTGCACGGCAAAGCTCATCTGACTGCGGTCCTGGCTCGAGACTGGAATGAATCTGACATAGCTTTGTGGCCGCCAGTCAGCCCACCTACCCTGGTGCCCATATTTCTTCTTGTCCGCCTGCGAATCTTTTGGGGTGCCTAGCTAACGGGGAATACAAAGCACAAGAAGTTGAGGCTGTCCTAACTAGAATGACTCAAACCCATCTTCAGCAGCATGTAAGTTAAGGGGAAGAGGTGGACCCCTCTCAATCATCTACCAAAGGTCTTGGGAGTCTGGGGAGGTCCCTGCTGACTGAAAGCTAGCCAATGTTATTCCAATCTACAAAAAGGGCATGAGGGAAGACCCAGGGAACTACAGACCTGGAAAAATTATGGAGAAGATTATACTGGGTACTATTGAAAGACATTTAAAGAACAATGCAATCATCAGGCACAGTCAACATGGGTTCACAAAGGGAAAGTCCTGTTTAACTAATTAGATATCCTTCTATGATAAGGTCACCCGCCTAGTGGATGAAGGGAAGGTGGTGGATGGAGATTTTCTGGATTTTAGTAAGGCTTTTGATACTGTCCCTCACAGCATCCTTCTGGACAAGTTGTACAACTGTGGAATGAGCGGGTTCACGGTGCGCTGGGTGAAGAACTGGCTGAAGGGCGGAGCTCAAAGGCTTGTAGTGAATGGGGCTACATCTGGCTGACAACCGGTCACCAGCGGTGTTCCTCAGGGATCAATTCTAGGGCCAGTTCTGTTCAATATATTTATCAATGATCTGGATGCAGGAGT